TACATCTTCATGCTCATGTTCGCCACGCTGCATTTCCCTTTCCTTGCCAAGCGTCTTTCAGCGGCGCTTGAAGATTGCAGCTCTTCTTTTGCGAGCTGGGTCTGGCAGTGGGCCAGTGGTAAAGTCGGGACATGTGTTCCACTCTAAGGTCTATTCCACTTTCGCACCTGGGTTGCTGAGTGTGCATGTGCTAAGGAAATCTAGGTCATGATGGATGCCGGCATTTCAGTGGCACAATTGTGACACAAACCCACTTCACACAGCTCCACACTCACCTCCTTCAGCAATCCTTCGATCGTCTGCTTCTCTTGCTTCTGTGCGTCCAAGGCCTCAGCTCGGATCAAAAGGAATTCATGGCCCTGTTGCCGCCTCTAAACAAAAGGTCGGCGTTCCAGCACCGCCCTGCAATGGTCCTCAACCTATTGAATGCAAAAAATTGGATAGTACTATGTAGTGTATTCAATTAGGACTCCAAAACCTTCTGTGACGACCTTTCTCACATTACGAGGGCCTGGGTTCAATGTGCAGGGCCAAGTGGCAGAGTTGGTTTCTGCCAGCTCTGTCTGCAACCTCTGCTCTTCAGCTCTGCCCCGTTCACGCTCATTCTCCAGCTCCTTTCGAAAAATGACTTGGCATGTGAACCAGTGGCGCAGAGCAGTTGGAATCTCTCTATCACATACGATTCATGAGCTGCATCTCCTCTCTTCCAAATATGCTGGCAGGAGTCTGAAAATACCGCAACTGGATCACCCAATGCCCTCAAAGCAGTTTGAACAAGTCTTCTTCTGAACGCAGGGTGCGGGGGACCATGGATACTGAACGGCCAAGCCATGCTGTGGAACTTTTCCAAGTATCACATACCCCCCACACGTTCCAAGGTGATTGAATTCCTTCCAATGAGCTTGGGAGTCTATGCTAAGACCAGGAACCTAAGGTGAGTCGAGTGAGACTTCCGAGACATCATGTGACACCCACTCCTTCTGAAGCTCTTGGTGCCTGGGATTCGGCACTATGAGCATTGTTCAAAGATCTCAAAGTGGAAAAAAATGCTGTTGAACACCCATCCGAAGTGACATTAGGATGTTTAAGAACCAATGTCACAAATGCCTTACCAATGACTGCACCCATCCAAAGATATAGTGTGATCCTTCGGCAAACTTTGGCAGTTGGCAAACTGGGCGTCCCGAGCTGCTCTTCAAGCTTGGCGGCAGCAGCAGCTGCTTCACACCTGCGTCTTGACTGTTGGGACGACGGTTTCCCATGTGCCCACCCGCCCTCCTCCAGCAGCTAGCAGCTAGCAGCTATGTATATGTCCGTTCCACTGGATCAGCTGATGTCCCCCGTTGAAACGCTGTGGCTTAAAGAGAACATGGTGGACCCACCCTACAGGTCCTCGGTTTTGCCCCTTCAGGTCCTGGATTCTAGCCCGAAACATCTGCAACAACCGAAGCCAGGAGTTGGTAGGGTCACCAACCCCACGTTCTGAACCCCAATCAATAGCATCCCAAATCGTCGAAATCCTGAGTCTGCAGCACAACTCTCTGAAAACCAAGAAAATACACAGAACATCACAGAACCTTCGGACCCCACATTCCAAAGCCCAGAATGGAAAAAAGAACTGACGTCGTGGGAAAACGTCGCTCATTACAGTCACCACACCATGGCAGCTCCGTCCCCTGACGTGCCATCGCGCGTCACGTCGTTTCGCGCCGTTCGCTCCGTTAGCGTCCGCGTCGAGCCCTCCACCCCCGGGTGAGCATCCGCCATCGGCCACGATGGATGCGCTGCATCCGGGTGACAGGGCGTCCCGGTGCTGCTGTTCCATCATGGCCACCTGCGCGTACGAAACGAGATGAGTTCCGAGTGTTCCGAGTGTTCCTCGCGCGGCGCGGAGGCGACGTTCCCGCAGGGCATGACAAATGGAGAAACCCGCCCAGCGCTGGGCCCTGAGGGTTCACAAACTGAATAGCAAGAATTCGGTGATATCGAGCAATCGCCCAGGCGACCCAGTGTTGCTATGTTTTTGCGAGCGTTCCAACTCTCCTCCTCCATCCATCCTCCCGGACCAATGAAAGCCAGCCGCCTTCGAGGCAAACTCGGCCTGCGCTTGTCGACCTTGGCTCACCAGAAGCCAGGCTCTCACCAGCGGCCACGCTCCGGACGTCGCACCCAAAACCAATCAGGACTTTGGTGAGGTTGCTGCGAGCTGTGAGCTCTCGAAATCAATGAGAGACTTGACTCTCTTGTGAAGAATCTGGTTCATGGTCATGTAGGCCTCGTCGCCCCTTCCTTGCCAAGCGTCTTTCGGCATCGCTTGAGGATTGCAGTTCTTCTTTTGAGAGCTCGGCCTGGCAGTGGGCCAGCATGGGCCAGCGGTATTGCTAGGACATTGCAACGCTGGAGTCAAGGAATTGTTCCTCTGCCATTAAGCGTGTGTTGAAGTTGTTCCACCTTCCCACTCAGCGTGCTGAGGGATTCCAGTCGAATCATCTAGCTGTTGGCCTTACGCCGAGACTGCCCACTCAACTCCCACCTCCTTCAGCAATGCTTCAAACCTCTGCTTCTCCTGCTTCTGCCCTTCGAGAGCCTTGGCGCACACATGAGCCCTGCCATGGATTGTCGGCGCATGTCCCTCAGAAGGAACCCAGAAATGACAACAGAATACACCCCAGCCAAGTGACCGCATTGGTTTCTGCAAGCTCTGCCTGCAGCCTCCCTTCTTGAGCTTGGCTGCGTTCACGCTCATTCTCCAGCTCCTTCGCAACTTCTTAGCATGTCTGTATAAAGCAGCACTGCGTGGTGGGTGGCTATCAAACATGTTTGTTCTTTGTGTGAGTGGTCAGTGGTGAGCATTCTTAAAAAAAAGAACGCGGACAACCAGTGTATTGCAAAGATTATCTTATTGTGGGAAATGCCAGGCCATGCCCAGCTCCATTGCCCTACTGGCAACACTAGGTATGTCGATGCGAAGGCTGGGCAAACAAAGTGGTTGGTTCGCGAAGACTTCAGATGAGATTCTTGACGTTCATCTTTCATCCCTACAACCTGCACCAACCCAGCGGAAGTTCCACCCTGTCCTTCTGAAGCTCTTGGCGCCTCAAGTCTTTTGGTGTTGCAAGATCAACACCCATCTATTGGAAGAAGTGGCACTGCCAGTTGCGACTGTCAGCATCTGCATAATCTGCATAAGCTGATGGGGTAAACTGTGAGACAGCAGCTGCGTTGCTTTCTTGCTAGGTGTGACCAAGAGGGCCACGTCTCTACCACTAAACATCACTAGACCACGTACTATGCATGTCGAGGCCCCAGGCCAACCCTCCTGCCAACCACGTCTCTGGTGCCTGCTCGACCTGCCTCCAGCCACCTCCCAAGACCCCCAACTGATCCAGAAGCTGTTGAGCTTGATCGGCCGCGTCAAGCCTCAGCCAGGGACTCAAACACCCCACCCGTGGAGGTCCCAAGACCAAGAGGCCCCCCCCCCAAACCCGCCGTGATGCTTTATTGGGCCCCAAGTGAACCTATCGAGGCGGAAGCAGCCAAGCTGCTGTCCACGTTTCATGATGTTTGACACCACCAAAATCGCTGGCTCGTTGGTTGAATTCTTTGCAGGCCATGACTGCTGTCCGCGTTTGCCGAACGGTTTTTTCCCCGAATGTCGGAGGACGTCTTCCGAGTCCGTCACTATACCGTCACGATTTGGGAGTGGAACGCGCTCGGAGCCGTCCTAGGCGCTGAGTCTATGTATGCATGCATCCTCTTAAGCCGTGCAGCTGAAAGTCCCTGTGCTGCTTTTCCATCATGGCCAACTGCCGAAACAGCTCGCCGCGAGGAAACATCGACCGGCTCGCCGGGCGAGTCGCCGTCGGGATGGCGACCGTCGATGTCGACGTTCTGTATACGAAGCTGTTCATGACTGGTGAGACCGGTTGTGGGGAATGAGGGAAGAAAACCCCGACAAAAGACACCATCCATGAGACAACTCATCAGGAGTCAGCTGAGTTACACCCGGGAAGAGACCCCCATGGAACCTGAAGAGATGCACCTTTGGACCACGATTTTTTCCTCTGCAACTCAGTGGTTTTCAGGTTCCGCGTTAATTTTCCAGAGTGTAGTTTTGACATGTTTTGACCACCAACCACCTCCAAAACAAGGTTCCTTTCCAATCACCAGGTGTCATGTTCTTGGGCTCGAGGTATCTGATGCTTCTTTGGGGGCCGGCCCAAAAAACGAACCTGAACCCAAAAAAAGATCCCCCTTATATAATCAAGGGGGTGAGGTGGTGGCCATCATTCTGTAGGCTGCATTTTAAGGGGTGTAATGGTGCATATATATTATATATATATATATGTTTATGAAAAAGACATGAACTCCCATGAACTCTTCCCAGCCACGGCCTCCGACAAATCGACACCGCCCCTTACGGCCTTGGACTCAAACGTGGCCTGCGCCTCGCGACCTGAGCCGAGCGGTGGGTGCGAGCTGAGCGGTGGAGTCAGTCTATGATGAGTAGCTAGCAGCAGGATGTGAGACTTTTGGGATGAGAACAGCCCAAATCCATTGCCGGGCGTCTCTCTGCAGCACTGGACGCTTCAAATGCTTCTTTGGCCAGCTGCGTCTGGCGCGGCCAGAGCGGTGGGAGCGTTGAAGAAATGGGACTCATAGGAACCCAAGAAGCTTTCCCTACAAATAGGGATTGTCATCGCTGTATTCCAATATGTAGCCAGACCCCCAGCTCTCTATGTTTGCTGTTCCTATGTCCAAAGTGGATCATAAGTGGTTCTTTGGAAAGCTCCCTGAGGTCTCCCCAGTCTGATATACACTCATGTCCAACAACAACAACAACAACAACAACCACAACAACCACAACAACCACAACAACCACAACAACCACAACCACGACGACGACGACGACGACGACGACGACCACCACCACCACCACCACAACAACAACAACAACTGCATCTGTGTGATGTTCGACACCCCAACGCAGGAATGTGGAGGATACCGCTGGATCTTGGAACACAGTACTCACAGCTCCCTAAGCAAATCGACTGTGTGACCAATTTGACCATCCAAAAGCGACGTGACCTAAATAGTGCCCGCAAGGGCCTTCCCGGAATTGGGACAAAGTGAAAGCAACCGGCAAGCGACGCGTCCTATCTGCCAAGCACGAACCAAGCAAAGAAGTTACCAATTACCTCCCTATTGAACCATCCTCCATCCAATTAGGACTCAACTCAGGAAGAAAACCCACCTCCTTCAAAGTTCCTTGGATCATCTCCAATTCCTTCACTTTGCCTTCGGTCGCCTTGGCCGTTTCAGCATCACCAGGTCCGGAGTGGCGAAATCAGCTTCCGGGGCACGGGCACGAAATCAGCTCGGGGCAGGTCGGTCAGGACGGGATACGAGATGGGCAAAGTTACAAACCCTGACTCCCTCAGTTTTCCCTTGAAAAATACGGTTATGATGTAACCTTTTTCCATCTGTTCGTATTTTTAGTGGGGAAACCAATCCCGAAAACAAGGTTAGAGGTGATCCATGCACTGACTGGGTAGCAACCTGAGAGTGCCCTACTCAGACCTTCGCAGCGAGACGCTCCTCGCACCACCCTCCGAATGATCTCAGAGATCACCGGCATGGCCGGTGACTGAGAGAGATGTTGGCATGACATGGCATGACGGACGGTAGAGGCACATCCCCTACACCTCCAGTGGTACCTCCTCGGGTTCGGTTGACTGGACCCTGGCACCCACCCCTTCTACCCCTTCTCAGGTTCTGTACGGTCCGTTCCACGTTGGCGCGGCCCGGCGAAGCTGTGCGAACGATCAGGGGGCGCGGAGCGCGTCGAACTCCGGGCCACGGCCAATCAAACCCTCCATTTGGATCCATTTGGTGTTGGAAAATGTTCCTCACATCCGGGGTTATGTTGAAATAGAAAGTATATAGACAGAATGGACATTGAAGAATGTCCCTTCGCCACTCACCGGAGCAGCTCCAAAAACCTCCTTTCAGGTCCAAGGTTCTGCACGTGCCTCCGCCAGCTGCCGTTGCAGCTCCTGTGCTTCGGCATCACCACGCTGGCGTTCCTGCTCCAGCTCCTGCGGAGCTGGGGCCACTCGGATGCTCTTTCTTCCTCTTTTGCAACAAGTGACAGGGATTGACAGGGTCTGTAGGTCTGTAGGTCTGGTACTGGTGTCTGGTGTCATCCTCTGAACCCGCCCGGTGTCTGCACATGTTGGCTCTGAACAACCCGCCCCAACATCCGTCCGCGAGGGACGCGCAAGCGTCATCGTCCAGTCCGCCAGTCCATGCGCCCGGTGGCCGGTCCCAGGTCCTGCTGTAGACCTCAGGCATCACATCATCGCCGGCTCTCGTGGCAAAAGCGATCTCTCTCTCTCTCTCTCAACTTGTAGGGCTGATTCGCGAAAGCTCATTCCCCCGACCGAGTGGGCATTGCCGGTACAAATGTGTTTACATGTTTTTACATCTCCATCATGTTGGGGGGGACTTTTGAACATGATTCCACTAACATGACATATTATGCTCTATTAAAATAAGTGGACTAATGAATGCCCTGTCCAGCCGAACCCGCATCAGCGTCCCGAGCCGGCCGAGCGCTCCCGAGCCGGCCGGGCGAATTCTCCAAGGCCCCAACACGACCAATGGGACTGGGATTGCCATACAGTTGCCGTTCAGTTGGGGAGGGTTGGATTGAGGCAAGGTATGCATATATATATATATATATACGCATGATTACGCATATAGGCATATATTCCATACCATGGAGTGCCTGGACTATGGAAAACATTAAAAGACAAAACAAACCCGTGAAAAACATCTGATGCACCCGAGCTGCGATCGTAAGCGTCTTGCATCTCCTTCTGCTCTTGCTGGGAGCTTTGCCGAAATTCCGCCGCAGCAGTCGTCAGCTCCTGGCGCGCAGAAAACTGGCACCGCCACGTGACTGGAATTGACTTGGCGGGGAAAGCACCCCCATGAGGCCGCAAAGGGACCCGCAGCACTGTGCAGGTCACAGCACAGGGCTGTGTCCACCGTGCCTCTTGGCAATCTCTTTGCCAGCCCGTGCCATCTGCACCCAACTCCCAGCCACACAGCCGGCACCGAACACCGACCATCCAATTCCCAACAAGGGAGATCGAAGTGGAAGCAGTCGGACCACTCCGACCGAGTGCTTTTCCTTCGGTGTTCCTCGAGCGGCTTTCGCATGCCCCCCCAACGCATCCGACGGTCGCCGACATCTCCTGGACTTGCTGCTCCTTGTGCTTCAGAGTGTCCAGGAGCTCCTGTCGGCCAGTTGAAGCCTTCAACCATCCAACAGCAAGAAATCCGGCACCGGAAAGTCTTGGCTGACGGGGGGCTCCAGGTGGTTGGGACGAGGATATCTGGCCTTCGTCTCTTCATCCAATGCCCTTTCACATGCTGGGAGCCTGCAGCATGCCCCTCTGAAACTCAAATCCCTGGAATGAAAGATCATGAAGCCTTGTCAAGGTCATGTGTCAAAATCTCAACCAACAACAGGAACTTGGACCTTGCTCATTCGCCCGAAGTAACAGGTTCTGGTCCACGACCCGGCGAGCGGACTCAACTACCCTCAGTGGCTGCACCCAACCAACCGTACCAAGAGCGGTTGAGAGACCGAAGAAAAGAGAGAAGGACCCTGTACTGGTGGGTACATATGGGATGGGCGACATGGGGGTTGTTCAACCTCTCTATAGTTATATATATTTGGGGTGTGGTATCCAATTGGTCGCCAGGTCGATGCTCCGTTCCCGACCCGAAGACGGGGCGGCCGCCAACCCCTGGGCGACCGGTCGCCGAACAGACCCAGCGCGTTCGGGCAGTGAGCGCCTCCTGCTTCTGCGACAACTCCTGGATCTGCAAAGACCTGGATCGCGACACCGGTGGCTGGCGCAGATCTGCAGTGGCCAGTGCAAGTGGCAGGGACTGGCTGCGGGCATCCACTTCGAATGCGTTCTGCATGTGCCCAAAGACTCCGAGTGTGGTCTTTCACTGCTCGTCTCTTCGCCCAGAAGGGGAAAGCACCTCCTCCAAGCAGTGGAAGCCACGCTACTCATGCAAGACAGAAGCTTCCGGAGGCTTGAAGGACCCATCACCACATTGAAGGACCCATCACCACATATCACTACCGCAGCCTTGGGCAGAGGAGGCCCTTGGCACTCGGTCTGTCCCCTTGGTCTGTCGACTGGGTGCCCCATGCTGCTTCTCCATCTCCTGTGCTTTGGCTGAAGCCTCGCGCCTTAAGGCACCATGACCAGGTTTGGTTGAGGACCCGCGGCGGTACGTGGTACCGAGACACATCCCAAGGCAGGGTATGAACCCAGGCAAAGCCCTGTGCTTTGGGCTGAACCAAGGGTTTCCGAGTTCAGAAGGAATCACCAGCAAATTGGGTCTGATGATGTATGATGCATGTGTATTGTTGGAGGGCTTGGAGAACGACAACTCCTCGACGAGTCTGATGCAGTCTGCATCTTCATCCCGCTTTCAGCTCTTGAGGACCATGTTGCACTGCAGGACCCGGAGAAAAGGAACAAAGCAATTGGCTGTGGGTCACAACCACCTGGTTGACCTACCCAGAAGGTCCAGCTACATGGTGGACTGGTAGGGCTCCAGGTTTTGACTCAGCCCCAATTAAATTTGGGCATTGCCCACACAACGCGCGAGTCGATTGCCCCGAACGGATGAAGGGCATGGCCAGCTGTGAGATCCCGGACTGGGATTCCTCCCTCTGCTTCTCCAGCATCGCCAACTGGCATCTCCGGTGCTCATTTGGGCCAAATTTGGGCAATCTGGATACGCTAAAGTAATTATATGTAATTACTATATACCCTGGGAGTCAAAGACTATAAAAAAGAATGGTCTGTAGGTGACCCGAAAAGGAATTTATTTCCTTAGCTTCAGTCGGTCAAAATATAGTCATTGGACTTCTAGGGTATAGGCCCCCAATTAGATTAAAAGATATTGATCAAGGTGGGTCCCCACTAAAAGATGTAATTATTGGAAACCGGTTCTATCTACTGTATTTTGGGGATCGCTTTTCTAGAAATCTAAGATATACTCTTGAAACAGTTTTCGCTGTCTCAGATGCTCGCCGGCCTGAGCTGCATAATCGGCCTGCGCTTGCCGACCTCAGCATGCTTGCGCTACTGACTCACCTGCTTGTCAACCTGTGCTTGGCGGCCAGGTTCTACTATATAGCCGCCTATATAGCTGTTTCAAGTGTCACTGGTGTGCTTCAGGGCAAGCCAACCCAAAAGCAGTTGACTCCAAAGATCTCCAAAGCTTCAAAGTGACGTCCAGGGTGGGCGAAAAGGCAGGCGAAGACTCACACCCCGAGCCGCTGAAGCAGAAGTTACTACCCTAAGGGCTGACGCTCTTCGACGCCCTTCAGATCCATTCTGCACCACCGGCCCTTCTTCACATCCCCCAGAACCCCCCACAACATACATCGATCATATGTTTGGAGACCAGCGGCTTTCAGCCATGCTGGAAGCTTCAAAGGAGTCTTTCGCGCGCTGGGTCTGGCCGAAACTGTGGGGGTGAGTCTTCAGGACGTCGGCTCGGGCGTGGTGTGTCGCGTGGCACGAACGAGGAATGCGACCAGATGGAAGATCAACAGGTCCGCTCTTCGCGTTGTTTGGGGGGGGCTCCAGCTTGACCCCGGAGTCATGTGACAGCTTGCAGCTTTGAACTGTAGACTCTGTAGACTCTGTAGACTCGGGCTCTGTCGACCGATCCACTAGGACCAGGGGCATCATTTCGATCCGCATGTTTGCAGGGATGATCATGTGGATCAACGATGCACATGATGAAAAGACCAGGACTTACAGGATCCTTGTCCAAGCATGCTAAATACCCAAGCACGACACAATCCGGAAGCGCTAAGTGATAGCTACGCAGCTACACGAAACCCCTTGGCCTCCTTCAGAGCAGATTCAATCCTCTCCTTCTCCCTTTCTTGGTTTTCATTTGCCTTGGCTGTTCTTGCGCCAGGCTCCAGATCACGGCCCCGAAGGGAAAGCACCAAAGACAACACACACCAGTTAACGGGTCACCAATGGACAACCCTACACTATACTTGTCGGTCTTTATTGGGCACCCATTGGAAGACTGCTAGGCAGTTGTAAAAAATAATATACATATATATATATATATATATATGTACAACCTTCGGTACACGGTGGTAGCGACAGTCAAGCGCACTTTTTCAGCAGCTGCAGTTTTGAACATGCCTGGCCGCCTGGCCCTTAGACTGAGAGGGGGTGCTATTCCAACTTGCTGCGTTCTCCTGTTGAGGCCCAGCTATAACTTGCAACTTTGCAAACTCTACAAGACAGGACGTTTGACATGCTCGCCCACACTCTTCTTCACAACTCTGTCGGTAGCTCGACTTGGTCAAAGGTCAGCGAAGTCCTGTTTCAACCTGTATGAACAAAAACCGTCGCATAGAATAGTTCTCCGGGCCCTCCGAAGTCCACCAGCTGAGAAGATACTTGGCACTTCTTCCCCACACCCTATGCACCAAACCTGGCGCGGTAGACCTCATGGCCGAGCGTCACTGTGTGCGCGGCCCAGCTGGTATTGCAGGTCAGCCACCTCTGACAAACGACGTTGGCGCTCTTGCTCCAGCTCCTGTGGTCGAATCAGTGGGATGCGTCTTCAACCAAATCCAAACATGGGATTTGGATGGTTGATGGATGAGCTAAAATATGTTTGGCTTTCAATTAGCTTCAAACTTGTTAATTGGTTAGGGGACGTTCCCCCAAGAGACCCAGATTCTACGTGGTCTTGAAGGACTCCCGACCAGCCTCCGGGTCCGAAAACGGCTGAGGTTAACCATCACACCCTCATCCGCCAATCCAACCACCCCCCAGGATCCGATCCATGCTTCCAAGCATCGCTGCGTACCTCCAGCTGCTGCTTTTGCAGCTCCTGTGCTTCCGTTCTGGCCCGCTCGCGCTCCTGCTCCAGATCCTCGATCGACAACGATCGACGCGTCCGCAGAGCGCGACCGCACCGCCCCAAACGCCTCGACCGCACCCAACGGTCCTTCCGAAGTTCTTGCCGCCTCGGGAGGACGGACGTGAGGTCCGGTGAAATCTGAAGGTGAATCAAGAGATCACCAGAAATGGAAATGCCAAAGATTCCGGTGGAAATTGTTGAGGGGGGCCAGTTTGTCTAGGTGTTTTTGAGATTGTTTGGTAATTATGTTCGATATATTTCGATATGTCTGTTGGGTTTGGTATTGTTGCCTTTTTTTGTTGTTCCACGGAGGTGTTGAAGCTTGTCCTCTGAATCTATCATCCCGACCAAGAATGATGAAAAGCACATACGCAGGAAACACTGTAAAACGCGCATTCTCACAGCGCTGGCCACGGTTTTCTTGTTGATTGAAGTACCGCCAAAAGGGAATCGCGGAGAATACGCCGACTCCGTTTGAAACGATCCAGATCAGAAGCTGAGAATAGGCCTTGAAGGACCTTCCACGTGCACACGGAGAAAAATCACTGGTCGCTCATGGGAGCGGTATTCTATCAGTTTTTGAGGAGGGTGAGATCATTAACTTATCTACACGAAACTACAGTAACTACACAAAACCAGCACGGGAAGCTCCCATGTCCGCAGGTCAAAGACCTCTGGCTGGGTTTCCCCTGCTGCTCTTCCAGTTGTTGAGCTCTTGCGGCGGCCTCACGCCTGACACAGACCCCGCTGGTGAAGAAAAAAAGCTTCACATAGTTTCACACTGGCCAGGCTACTTGCAAAAAGGAAGAAACACTAAACCTGAAAGCAAACTAAAACAGACCACAACCACCGGAACTCGGCCATCCAGGCTGCCCCCGCTGGAAGTCCGTGTGCTGCTTTTCGAGCATGGCCAACTGGCAAGCGCGCCAGTCCGGGATTTGCATATTAAATTCTAAATTACTATAGGACCAGCGATTGCACTGAGACTATAGGGCCTACTTGAAGGGTCTGTCCCGGGATGGACCCCTCAATCTATGGAATCCGAAGTTCCCACTCCGTCTGGGCCCCAAGTACTTCCCGAAGTCCAAGTTCCCGAAGGCCTTGGCATCGAAGTCCGCCTGAGCCTGCCGACCTCACACAGCACGACCGTCGTGCCGCGGTGTCATGGCGAACCGAGCGGCTCACGCGAGGCGGGTGGAGCGTAACGCGCCGGTGGAAGTCCATCTGTCCTCTGATCCTGCACAGATGCCCCGCATGTTCTGCCATATATAGGCCGTGTAGATAGGATGATCAAATCCCTCATGTGCTGGTGAGTTCCGGCAAGTCGAAAGCCCCCCAAAAGCACATAGATTCAACGCAACTCCGTGAACCGGGTGACCTGCGACGCTTCGCGGCTTCGACCAGCCAAGTTCGAGAATCTAGGAGAACACCGCCTAGATAAGCTCATAGAGAGGCAAGCACCATCATCTTCCACCCGAGGCACCCATGAAGCTGAAAGGGCCGGCCCCCTGCCCGGCCCGCCCAGCCATGCCTCTCCCCCCCACATGCATGACTGGCCCAAGGGTCTCTGAGCCACGCTGGAGGACTCCGAGGACTCTTTCGCCCGTCGTGTCTGGGCGAGCGGCGGTGCGAAGCGGTGCGAGCTGCCGGGGGCGGGTTCGGCTTCGGTGGCTGTGGACGTGCCCAGTGGGAAGGCGGAACATGGCCTAGATATGCGGAAGCCTAAATATGCAGCCATCGATGTTCATCTATCCTTTCCAATTCACCCGAAAGAAGGGTACTTGGCGCTCACCGAGTTTAATTTTCCATATGCCTCCCGAACCACCCCAAAGATCAACAGTCTCAGTCTGAGCTTCTTTTCCGATGAACATCCGAGCGCACGCCCTGGGCATGCCCTCACATGCACCACTCGTGACAGGCGCGCTGGATACGTGGGCACCCCGGATCAACCCACACCAAATCCACATCGGATCGAGGCCCTCTCAGCAGACCATCGCCTCCTGCAAGAGTTCTTCGACCCTTTGCTTCTCCTCCTTCTGTGCTTCGGTCGCCTGGCTGGAGCGAAAAACCAGCTCTGCTGTTCGAGCGAGCTGCGCAGTGGTGGAGAGTTCAGCTGCAAAGTCATGGAGATACACATAGCATCCGATAAGTTTCGTCAGTTTCCCGCGTCAGCGAATGAATTGCAAAGAGCCACCTACGGCACCTAGAGCCCTAGAGCAATTGCTAGTTCTGACCTGGTCTTCAAAGGTCACGTGTAATGTCCTAGCAGCAGCAGCAGCAACAACAACAACAATAACTTGATGTCAACAGTTATTTGGGCAGCAGTTTTTCTTCAGCCCTGCTGGCGTTTTTTCGGCCAAGCATCTGCACGAGCAGATGCCAGCTGCATTTGCAGCTCCGCTTCGGCTGCTCTGCCACGTTCTCGCTCCTGCTCCAGCTCCTTCGCGAAAGCTGTGGAACAAGACACTTGAGGGCACCCACTGACTCAAAAGGATTCAAAAGGCCTTGCACTGAGAAGTTCATCTGAAATGATCCAGACGGATGAAGTTGCCCGCTCATGTGCCTTGGGCCAAGTTCTTTGAAACGGGCACGAGAACTTGGGCTCCGTGTTTGGTGGAGAGAGCTTTGAGTTGGAACTTCTTCGAAGCCCTAATTAGGGCTCATAAGACCTCATAAGACTTGGCAAAGTGAATCAAGTGCCTTCGAGAGGCCGTAGGTTGGCAACCTGCCGGACTGAGTCACCTTCCAAATGTCAATGAAGTGACTTCGAAAGGCCGTAGCTTGGCCACCGAAATCGGGGCCTTCCCCTCCCCATGCCCCTCTGGGTCCTGCTGAAGGCCTCAGGGAGGCAAAAGGGCTAAGTAAATCCTTCTCATCCCTCAGCCCGTGGAAGGGCGGGAAAATCTCTATCCTTGCAACACGAAGACCATCTTGGAAGTCATGAAGCTCCATGAAGTCATCAAGTTCATGATGTTTGGGTACGGGTGCAGTATATGGCTGTGGGTCAAAGACCCCCAGGCACCCTAATTGTTGACCATTGAGAATGAACGCCTCAAAAGATGCCAGCCTACCATGAACATGATTAAACCCACACCCATACCCCATTGCCAGTCACAATGGATGGTGATGGTTAGTAATCATTGATGCTTCATGATCTCCGTTCCAAATTCCCAAGACGGCCCTGCACTAGGCCTTGGATGTGAGAATATTCACAGGGGGATGCTTCCTGGCTCAGCATGTCACCCCTGATCTTGAAACCACCAGACAGCCTGCTGCATCCGAGAGGCGATTCTGCGAGTCCTGCATCTCCTGCTGCTTCTGCTGCGCTTGGTCATGGAACTCCGCGGAAGACTCGGACAGCTCCTGTGGCGGTGACATCCATCAGCGAACGGTCACCCAAAACCGAAGTCCATCCAATCGCGAACGGTGCCACAAGAGGAATGTTGATGTTCTTGCATCATGATGTAGACTCTTGATTAAACCCACCCAATTGAATGCACGGACTTGCGGACGGTCTGTCAAGACGCGCGCGCGCCCACACCCCCCTTTCTCAGGTTTTCCGAGAGGTTGGGGTGGGCATGGTGTGAAAAGTCAGGAGGATATGTCATGTACAGGTGGAAAGAGACATCCATATGGTATGTACAATCTACGACGAACGAAACGGCCAAAGCATGGAGGTAATGCAGAAGGACAAAGGCAACTACGCAAACTTGATAGGTCTCTTAGCACCCCTAAGCACAGGTATCTCCTGAGAATAATTACTAATTTAATTTGGATCCGGGAAACTAATTAAATCCAAGCTCTTTTTGCGTGCCATATGATTACAAACCAAACGGGAGAACCCTTCCCTTTGAGGGAGTGGAATCTCTGGCCAATCTGGCCATGTCGGTTGTTCTGAGATGGCAGGAATCTCGGACCCAATTGAATTGGACATCCCCTTCATATTGGGGGTTACTAATCAAGAGTCTACACTAGAAAGTTCAAGTGTCATGCTGTATGCCCAAAATTCCTGTGTATCTGCCTGTGCTGGATTCCTGGCGGTGCGATGTTTTATCTGGCGCGATGTCCTGCGCGATAAGCCGCGATGTGCTAGCCAAAGAGCTTTCTGAGAAGAAACCCGAAAACGAGGACCTCTCTTAAACGACACCATCTTCTCCCATCCCCTCTCGTCACCCTCAACCCTCGCGACGCCCCGATCGGTCCTTGATCTGCTGTTCCTTTAGAGCCAGCTTTTCAGACTCATTCTGCAAAGAATTGGAGAGTTCCTGCAGTCACAACTCCAAGCGTCCAGTTCGCTGAAGGCGAGCCATTCCCTGTTCAATCTCTGGTTTGGAGCTTATGGCAAGACCACCCACAGCACTCTGGGCCCTCCAGTTACCAAAGAACAACAGGCGAAAAGTCCGGGAATCAATTCAACTGGATCTGACCCAGTCTGTGTGGCTCTTCTAGCATCTCAGAGAGCATACACCTGGGCAAATTGAGTTCACATGGAACCTGAACAGTCCCCGCAAGGACCCGCTTCGGAAGACCCTGAACTCCGAAGACCAGCTCAATCAGCAGAAGTCACACCCCCGTGATGAGATAGAACTGCAGGGGAAAAACTGCTGTCATCTTTCTTTCTCAGACGGTGCTTCTGCGTCTTCAGCTTGGAGGGCCGCCCTCCCGTGGCGCCTGGAGTTCGGCCGACCTGGGGTCAGAGATGGAGCCGAAAACATGGTCTCGATCACATGAAACACCCAAGAAACATACTAACATGCACTATAACCTATAATAAGATATACATATACTATACTATATTGTAACATACATATACTATATACATATACATATACTGTATACATATCATCTAATACTATATATATACATACCAGCAGCGCACCCTCCAACAGGTCTCCTCCGGTAGCTTTTGCAGACTTAAAAGTTTTAAAAGTCGCAGGTGGTGACCTGTTGGAGGGTGCTGGTATATATGTATACGTATATGTCTCTCTGTCTATTATATACACTATTATGTACTATAACATAATCTATATACGTAATTTTACAAGTGTGTTGAACCGAAAGAACACCATAAGATTTTCTACAGATAAACGTTAGAGATCGTTAGAGTATATAGGTGGAAATGGTCCGGCAGCTGCTACAGTGAGGCCCCATGGGCAATCGAGCTCAAAGAAATACACCTCGCACACTGCCATGGAATCTGAAAAAAATGCGATTTGTATGATTCGTAGGTTTGCAAGTGTAAAACACATCTCCTCTTGATTGAGTCTTGAGTCTTGAGTGCGTTCCTGGGAGTTCCGAGCTGTCTTTGGATTTCCTGATCTTTGGCAGAAGCTTCTCGCCTGCAGCATGTCAGTCGCCGTCATGGACTCAACACCGAACCTGGCGCCTGGCAATGGGTGACTTGAAACCAGGAAATAGACCCTCCCTGAAACAATGAATCATGGAATACAGCCTGTTCGTAGAGGAAAACCGTCTTCCCAGGGGCCATGTTCCATGCTCCATGTTTGTTGGATGGAGGGTAAGCATATACATCAGCACATGAGCCCTAGTGGAATTAACTGCCCAGAAAGCCATTGAGCAGCCGCACTCCATCTCCTCTCGCTGCTTGTCCAGCATCGCCAACTGCCAGGCTACGCAAGTTGGAAGTCCACCCATCCTACAGTATTTGGGGGCATGCATGAAACCAGAAACGCTTTCTTTCTGGCTTCCTTGTGGGGTTCTCCAGGAGTGCGAAAAAGCATTAGTTTGTGGCTCACAGGGCTTCTTCCTTAGCACCAAATCTGCGCAGACCGCAGACCGCTCGGGTCAGGACGGGTCAGGAGTCCAACACGACCCACGCCTGCGTCTCGAAGTCTGCCTGCGCTTGCTGGCCTGACCCGCGCCACCCGTTCCCAGAGTCCATGCAGCGACCTATCCAGGACCTTCCCAGTGACCTCTTCAGGATTGGTGACGGTGACCTTGAAAAAAGGCCTGTTTGTGACCTCATTCTGGGATCTCAAAAGGTCACTGGATTGTAATTTATAGTCCTAGTATGTCCTAGTCACGAGTTAGACATGCACATGCAGCTGCGCATGCTCAAGAGTTTCCGGAAAGTGTTGTTTGAATAGGATGCCAGGGAATCGGAGGGCACACCTTGCAGAACGGACTTGCTAAACCGGCAAAAGCCTCCTCTGCAGCTGCGCCAAAGGGACAATGTAAGTCAACAACAAGGAGTTTCCAAACTGAAGTCATAGAGCCTGTACTGGAGGCAAACAAAACCTTCACAAAACACAAGGGTGGATATGTTCAAATTGCAGCCAAGCGTCTCTCAGCAACGCTTGTTGCTTCATACAGGTCTTTTGCAAGCTGTGTCTGGCAAGCTGCACAGAAGTGGCAACAAAACTAGTCTGGAGACCAATTCTGATACCAAGTTCAATTTCCAGAGTGCCAGTTCCAACCACTGATCACTGCCGGTACAGGATCTCTTGGACATTCCCAGGGGAAACAAGTATATAATAAGATCTAAATCATGATTGGAGGCAACCAGCAAGTGCAGTTAATGCACTTCATCACAGCTTGTTGCCAAGCACACCACTGGGCAGGCAAGCCACCAGTCTATTTTTGCTCACTGATCCACAAGGAAAATGTGGAAATGCAATCCTGGAAGCGGCACCGCCCCGGAACCAAGACGTCCGAACCGGACATTCTGCTCAGCGGGAGACCTCCCCTTCCGAAGACCCCCTGGGTTCGGAACACAGACCCAAACCTGGTCAGGGGAATGGTCGGAATGGGGATCGACTCAAAAGAATGCATGGGATAACATGGGGAATCAGGAGAATCTCCCACTGGGAGAAGGGATCTATTCAACATCACGCCCGCATTTGGCGATTCGGAGCTTCTTCCCCCCCGTGACTTCTCCCTGCCGCTGCGTCGTTTTGCTTCCGCGAGCGCTCTGAGACCGAGACCGACCTCCTTCAACAGGGCATCGATCCGTTCTTTCTCCCTTTCTTCCGCTGCCAGGGCCTCAGCAAAGGCACCGAGATGGCTGATGAAATGAGCCAAGGATGGCCAAAGTCATGTAGACTGGAAGATTTGGGGGGTCAATACGAAAAGTTTGTTTTAAGAACATGTGGCCAAAGCAATGCTTCGAAATGATTCATAACTCCCCGACGTTACAAATTCCTACAGTCGTATACATGATCATTCCTTAACCAACGTGCCATGCTACGAACATGGGGAAAAACTTGGAATGTTCGCTTTCCAAATCCATTCACTGGTCAACCGATGCAAGTCTCGGGGGGGGGCCTTTGTTTTCACGCATACGTTCCATTCCGACGGGGCA